TTGCATTGTCAATGAAGCACAGATAGACATTCTTCTGGTATTCTCTGCTTTCTGCCAAGATCCATCTAATATTAGTTATAATATCCCTAGTACCATGACCTCTTCTAAATCCAGCCTGCACATCTGGCAGTTCTCTGTTGACATATTGTTCCAAACGTTTTTGGATCATTTTAAGCAGAATCTTGCTTGCATGTGATATCAATGATATTGTTTGATAATTTCCACACTCTGTTGGGTCACCTTTCTTTGGAATGGGAATAAATATTGATCTCTTCCAGTCAGTTGGCCAGCTGGCTGTCCTCCAGATTTCCTGGCACAACTTAGTGAGCACATCCAGGACAATGTCTGTTTGTTGAAATAAATCAATTGGTATGCTGTCAACTCCTGGTGCCTTGCAAATTTTTGCCAATTCCTTCAGAGCAACTTGAACTTCCTTCTTCATCACCATAGTCTTTTGCTCATATGTTATTTCATGAAATTCCTGTGTCAGCCAACTCCTTCTGATACAGTGACTCTGTGGACTCCTTCCATCTTCTTTTGATACCTCCTGGATCATTTAACATTCTACCCAATGTATCCTTAAGTATTGCCACCCGTGGCTTGAAGTTGTTTTTCAACTCCTTCAGCTTACGAAACGCTGAGCGAGTCTGGCCCTATTGATTTTCTGACTCCAGCTTTCTGCACATTTCATTATAGTATCGTACTTTGTCGTACCGAGCTGCCTTTTAAAATTTTCAGCTCTTTGATTTCTTGATTTCTTCCTTTAGCTTTGGCTTCTTGTCACTCTTATGCAATACTCAGACTCTCATCTGACATCCATCTTGGTCTTTTCTTCTTCTTTAGCCTTTGTAATGATCTTTTGCATTCTTCATAGGCGATTTTCTTGATATCCTCCCAGAACTCATTTAGTCTACTCTCATTGGTGCTCAAGGACTCAAGCCTGTTCCTCAGATGGTTTTGAAATTCGACTGGGAGAGACTTAAGGTCAAATCTTGGTTCCCATGGACTTGATTTAATTTTCCTCAACTTCTGCTTGAACTTGCATATAAGTAATTGGTGGTCTGTCACACATATTGAGCTTCTCCAGCGAGTCTTTCCACAAATTTAATAGATTTGATTCCTATGCATGCCATCAGGTGAGATCCATGTGTATAGTCTGCGTTTATGTTTCTTATAAAAGATATTTGCAATGAAGAAATCATTGAATATGCAGAACTCTATCATTCTATCTCCAGCCTCATTTCTCTCACCGAACCCTTGTTTTCCAGCCACTGAGCCTTCTTCCCTGTTCCCAAGTTTTGCGTTCCAGTCGTCCATTACTATCAATGCATCTTGACTGCATGTTTGATCAATTTCTGACTGCAAAAGTTGGTCGAAATTTTCTATTTCCTCCTCTCTGGCTCTAGTGTTGGTGCATATATTTGAATGATAGTGGTATTCACTGGACTTCCTTCTGCGCATATGTATATTATCCTGTTGCTCATCACATTGTATTTCAGGATAGCTCTAGAAATGACTGTTTTATTTATGAAACCAACCCCATTTTTTCTCACATTTCTCACATTTTATCCCCAGCATAGTAAATCATATGATCATCTGATTAAAAATGTCCCTTGCCAAGTTATCTCATTTCACCAATACCTAGTATGCCAATATTTATGTGTTCCATTTCTTTCTTAGCAATGTCCAATTTTCCTACATTCATGCTTCTCACATTCCACGTTCCAATCACTAGTGTCTCCTTACAGCTGTTCCTCTTTCTCTGTGTTTCCAATTCTAAGATCTCAGTTCCAATTGCCATGTCTGTTAGTTCAAGTGATAGTCTAAGTGTGCTCTATTATACATAGGGTTTTTCAAAGGCCTGTAATTTGGAAGTGGATGGCCAATTCTTCTTCCTAGTCTGTCTCAATTTTTAAATATATATAAAATAGTATCTGGCAGACAAGCATTCTACAGAAAAGAGCAGATGAAAAACATTTACTTGGTCATAGTGAATTGTTTCTTTGATGTATCATTAGATTTTATTGGCCAGGATTTTATTCAGGATTTTTGCATCTATGTTCATGAGAGATATTATACTACCGTTTTCTATTTTGATGGTATCATTACCTGGTTTTGGTATCAAGGATATGTTTGCTTCATAGAATGAGTCTGGGAGAATTCCATCTTTTTCTATTTTCTGAAATAGTTTTTGCCTACAAAAATTGGTGACAATTCTTCTATGAATACATGAAAAAATTCACTTGTAAAGCCAATCTGTTCAGGACATTTTTTGGCTGGAAGTTGCTTTACTACCTTTTCAGTTTCTTCTTTTGCTATGGGTCTGTTCAGTTGTTCACTCTCAGTTGGTGTCAATTAGGTAAGTGGTGCATTTCTAAGTATTTCTTCATTTCCTCTGGGTTTTCATATTTGTTTGAGTATAATGTTTCATAATATTGCAATGGTAGCCTTTTTCACTTTAGTTGATTATGTTGTGATGTTGCCAACTGCATTTCTTATTTGGATTATTTGTGTCTTTTCCTCTTTTGTTAGTTTTGCTAGTGGTTTGCCAATTTTATTGACCTTTTCTTTTCAAAGAACCAACTCCTTGTTTTGTTGATGGTTTCAATTGTTTTTCTGTTTTCTATTTCACTTATTGCTGCTCAAATTTTTATAATTTCAGATTTTTAAGAGGGTGTTGGGCTTTCTTGCTGTTTGTTTCTTTTTCAATTTGTTGGAGATGTTAAATTAGAGAGTCAATGGTCATTTTTTCCTGCCTTTTTATATGTTTGCTTATTGCTATAAATTGACCGTTTGTTACTGCTTCAGCTGTTTTCCAGAGATTTTGGTAAGTTGTGTTTTTATTGTCATTTGTTTCAAGAAATTTTTTTATTTCAATTTTTATTTCCTCTAATAGCTACTCACGTTCAAATAAGGTGTTGTTCAGCTTCCAAATGTATGTTTTTTTCCTCCTTTATCCTCTTTTATTAATTTCTAATTTTGTAGCATTGTGAACTGAGAAAACGCTTTGTATTATTTCTATGTGTTTGCATTTATTGATGCTTTGCCTTGTGACCTAAAATATGATCTATTCTGGAGAATGTTCCATGCACATTGGAGAAGGTATACTGTGTTTTTCTGGGGTGCATTAACCTATAAATGTCTATGAGGTCAAGTTGGTTTTTGTGCGGTTTAATTCTTGAGCATCTTTTTTGAGGTTTTTTTTTTCCTGATAGTTCTATCTTTTCTTGAGAGTGGTGTATTGAAGTCTCCAACAACTATAGTATTTTTGTCTATTTCCTTTCTCAGTTTTGCTAACGTTTGTTTTATATATTTTGCAGATCTTTAATTTGGTGCATAGATATTTATTATTGTTATGTCCTCTTGTTCTATTGACCCTTTAAGCATTATGTAGTGACCTTCCTTGTCCTTTGTGATTTTTGCTTTAACATTTATTTTGTCAGAGATTAATATCACTACTCCTGCTTTTTTCTGGTTGCCATTTGCTTGGTATATTTTTCCCATCTTTTTTTTTTTTAGTTTTTATCTTCATTGTTCAGGTATGTCTCTTGTAGACAGCATATTGAAGGATTTTGGGTTTTTTATCCAATCTGCTACTCTTCTCTTGAGTGGTGAATTCAAACCATTCACATTCAGTGTGATTGTTGAAAGGCAGGGTTTTATTGCTATCATTTTGTTGAGTTCTTTTTGATGTTGTTGCTAGTTAGTTTGGTCCATCCTGCTTTCTGTAGTACTTCTGTAAGAAGGACATCTCTCAGTGTTTTCTGAAGTACTGGTCTTGTTTTTACAAACTCTCTTAGGTTCTGTTTTTCTGGGAATATCTTGATCTTTCCTTCATATTTGATAGATAATTTTGTGGGCACAGTATTCTTGGTTGACAGTTGTGTTCTCTGAGTATTTGATATATGTCCTTCCACTGTCTTCTTGCTTACATGGTTTCTGCTGAGAAATGGGAACTTAATCTTGTCTGCTCTCCCTTATAGGTTACTCTTTGTTTCTTTCTTGCTGCTTTCAGTAATCTCTCCTTATCTTTGATTCTGGCAAATTTGACTATGATATGCCTTGGTGTTTTCCTTTTGGGGTCTTTTCTATATGTTGTTTGCTCAGCTTCTTGACTATATATTCTCTCATTTTTCATTATGCCTGGGAAGTTTTCCTCTAGTAATTCTTCCACAACTTTTTTGGTGCCTTTACTTTCTTCTTCCTGTTCTGGCATTCCAATAATGCACATGTTATATCCCACATTGTTCTTATGTTTTCTTTTTCCTTCCTTTTTAAGTCTTTTTGGGGGGGGGGGGCTCTGGCACATCAGTGGTACAATTCTATCTTCTGTTTTACTGGTTCTGTGTTCCATCTCTTCAACTCTGCTCATGTGTCCTTCCATCATGTTGACAGTATCTGAAACACTGGACCTCATATTCTGGATTGTGGTTTCTTGTTTTTCCAGTGCCACTAATGCCTCGTTTGTTTTATCTACATTTTTCTGGATTGGTTTTTTTTAGGTTCTCAACACTCTTGGCACCAGTAGCCAGGAAATAAAAAAACGTATTGTGATGGGAAAGTCTGCAGTTAGGGACTTCTCTAAAGTACTCAAGAGCAACGGTGTCTCTCTGGAGACTAAGGTCCGCCTGATACAGGCCATGGTTTTTGCAATCACTTGTTATGCATCAGAGAGTTGGACAACGACTAGGGAGGATAGAAGGAGAATTGACGTCTTTGAGCTGTGGTGCTGGAGAAGAGTACTGAATGTACCATGGACTGCCAAGAAAACAAACAGTTTCATCCTAGAGAGGGTTAAACTAGGCTGCTCCTTGGAGGCAAGGATTCTGGGGCTTCACCTGACATACTTTGGACACGTTGTAAGGAGAGATAGGTCTGTGGAGAGGGACATCATGCTGGGCAAAGTGGAGGGACAGCGCTGGAGGGGAATACCCTCTACATGAGGTGGATTGATTCAGTGACTGGGGTAATCGGGATGGGTGTGTCGGAGGCAATGAGACTGGCACAGGATAGAGCAGGGTTTAGGGCTGTTGTACATAGGGTCGCTATGAGTTGCAAGCGACTCAACAGCACATAACAACAACTACAATAACAACCTGCTTTTTGCTTGTAGTATCCTGTAATTCTTCAAGTTTGTCTTTCATCCATTGAAAATATTAAATCATTGTTCTTTTAAATTCCATGTCAGAAAGTTCCATCAGACTTTCTGGCTTTAGGAAATCCATTGATACTGTGTCACCATTTGGTGGTGATATCTTGCTTTGCGCTTGTGTAGTGTGCAGATAGCTTGTTTTATTTTTGACATTGATATGTTCTTGATCTGAGGATAATGCTCTAGAAATCCACGGGGCAGTTAACCCACTTGTGTTTTTCTCTGAACTTATGATTCAAGGGAAAGGTCAGTTCAGAGCCTGTGAGAGGACCCTGTTGTAGGTAAATCAGATCAAGGTGCTCTGGATTAAAGGCAAGTTGATTGAATGAATGTGAAGGTACAGGTGTAGAGTCAGATGGAGTGGGGCAGGCACAGGGTGGGGCAACCACAAGGGTGAGTCAACCTCTTGGAGGAACTCACTCAGACCTCAGCTATGTAATATGCTCACGATTGGGGTCCCTACTCCAAATGCAGCTGTCTGTCTCCCACTCAGTTGTTTTAAATCAGTTGTCCCTTCCCAGTGGCACTTACCCAGGTGCCCTGACCAAGTAGGGTCCTGGCTCCAGGAGGACCCGAGAAGACTCAATAAATTTCCTACCAACCCACTCACCTCTTTCTGGTCTGTGGTATCCACAAAAGTTCACTCAAATTCCCACTGGCCCACCCATTCCTAGGCAGTTGGCATGGCCCAAGAGAGCTCAGCCAAATTACCACCAGTGGGCTCACCCTGGGGTGCTCTCCCAGGCAATAAACATTTCCCAAGAAAACAATGTGAGGATCCTACTGGCCTTCCTGATCACGGGTGGTCAGTGGGCAAACAGAAAAATGCAGTCAAATTCCAACAGACCACTGGTTCTTAGGGGGGCTTAACAGAACTCAGCCAGTATCCACTAAACTTTCTCCTGCTAGATTGGTCCCAATCTGGTAGCTTCCAGCTATGGGCGATTCTGCAGCTGGCTCTGTGTTCCTATAGCTCCAAAACGAATTGTCCCAACAAAAGTTCTGATTCAAAATCCTACTGTCCATGTCATGCTGTGAAGTACTCCTCAATGTCCCTGGGGTGCCACTGGGGGTGCAGGGCTGGGGCCCCACCAGAGGCTGTGGTCCCACCAGAGGCTGTGGTGCAGGGTTGGTGGTCTGTTCACAGATGTTAAGCTTCCAAGGCACCCATCCTCAGCACATCAGACCTCCCGCGTCTCTGGTCTGTGCCCACATTGCTGATCTCTGTTTTTTTTTTTTTAAAGTTTCTTGTTTAGATTCAACAAGAACTCAGGGAGGGTCTCTGTACTTAAAGCTGGTTGTTATTATATTTTCGGGGAACATTCTTCTCAGTGGTACAGCACTCTTTGTCAATATGCTGTACTGAGGTAATCTGGGGTTTCTGTGATGCTGAACCTTGTGCCATTGGGCACAAACACTATAACTACTACCCATGGTGGACAGTGTTTGGTGGAGCTCCCAGTTTAAGACCAATTTGGAAGCAGAAGTGGCATCCACTTTCTAAACAACATGCCTCTGAAAACTCTATGAAGTTTGATAAATCTCGATAATTGTAGATGGGGTTCAGGCCTTTTGTTCATAGGGTCTCTATGAGTTGTGCTAGACCTGAAAGCAATCAACAAGAAAAATAACAACATGTCTCCAATGAGGCTCTTGTCTTCCAGCTCACTGATTCTCTGTTCCATCTCATCAGTTCTACTTTTTTGTCCTACCAGCATGTTGGACACTTCTGCCAATCTGGTTTTAATATTCTGGATTGCACTTTCATGCTTTTCTGTTATTTCCAGTACTGTGTTGGCTATACTCGCTAGGTCTTGTGATAGTTTTTTAAGTTTCTGTACCTATTTATCTATACTATCAATTCTTTCTTCCATCTTTTGCATTTTCTTCCATAGTTGTTCAAGTTGCTCCTCATCAATATGTTTCTTTTGGATTGCTGTCTATGAACTATATGCTTTCTTTAATGGCTTCCATTGTTTCTTCCATCATTTGCATCTTCTTCTGTAGCTATTCAAATAACTCCACATCAATATATTTCTTCTGGTTCTCTCTACCTGGGGTATTCATTGGGTCTGTTTTTAGAACAATTATTTTATTTTTTCATGATGACTGAGGCTGCTTCCTTGAAATTATGTGAGTCTTTTCTTAGTAGATATAGGTTGTTGTAAGTATATAGTGAGCCAAGGTATGGCAATGTTTTGTGAAGGAACTTTAGATTTGTGCTTGCCTCTTGGGGAACAACATTCAAACATGAATGACTATTACCCTCCAAAAACTGCAGTTTGGCCCAGCCCTTCCTCTTGAGCTGAAGGAATCCCCTCAGATGTAGCTAGACAGTAGATTTTGACCTATAGTTCCTTAATGGCAGAATAGAGAAGTCTGTTCCCTTCCAGAAACCATAGCTCGGCCCAGCCTTTTCTGCTTGTGCTTACAAAATACCATGTGATGTAGCTAGACAGAAGTGTTTAATACAAACTCCCTATGATTTTGCTGCATGTGGCTCAGGCCAGCTTGGCAGCAGCTGTGCAATCTCCATGTGGCAAGGCAGTCTAGTCTCCACATGGAGGGGTGGTCTGGTCTCCACAGACAGGGTAGTCTCGTCTCCACATGGCAAGGTGGTCTAATGCAAGGGCACGACCCATTGTGTAGGAGCTTGGTCTATGTAAAGTTATTTCTTGATACTGCACATTGGACAATAAAAGTCTGTACTCCTCCAAAGTAAAACTAAAAAAAAAATCCCTACAAACCCAAATCTATCAAGCTCACTCAGTTTTATAGCAACCCTAAAGAACAGCAATGCCCACAGAGTTTCAAAGGCTTTCCTAAATCTTTAGGACACAGCCTATTTCATCTTTCTTTTGCAGAGTAGCTGGTAGGCTCACACCAACCTTTTGGTTAGCAGATGAATGCCTTAACCACAGTGCCACCAGCACTCCTGAAAGTCTTTGCAGAGCTTAAAAATAGCTTGTCATCTGAATGTGTTCACTAATAAGACTGTTTGGCTCAGAATCTGGCTACAGAGAATGGGACTAATTAAACGAATTCAGCTAAGAGCAGACGTTACTGTTTGGGCGTGGGATTCACTGTGCTTTCTTTCAAGTTCGGTATCCTGCCAAGAGTCTCTCAATGTCATCTACAGTCCCAGTTCCTTTTGGTAGATAGATACTGAGATGCAGGGAGGTCCAAATACAGAGTTAGTGAAAGAACTGAGTCTTGAATTCAGTAGATGATGGAGACAACAGCTGAAGTCAGTCCGAGCCATGACATGTTGTTGTTGTGTGCCATCAAGTTGGAAGTGGCTAATAAATGATCCTCCAGCAGGTTTTCAGAGGCATTTAATCACATGGGAGGAAAATGCCCATCTTTCTCCACAGGTGGATTTGAACTATATGCCTTTGTTTGGGAGGACAACCTGTACTTCCTCTTAGGGCAGTTAATGGAGAGGATGATACAGCTGATTTTTAAAGGTTTTCCTGTTCTTCAAGTTGCATGAAATGTAGAAATCTGGTTGGTGCAAGCAGTTAGCACGCTTGAAAACTAACCGAAATTCGGAGTTCCAAGTTTGATCACGGAGACTTCAGAAGCGAGACCCCACAGTCCACTTCTTTCAAAAAACCAGCCACTGAAAACTTCATGGGGACAACTTTGCTCAGGCATATGTGAGACAGTCATGAGTAGAAATTGAATCCATAGTAACTTTTTGCCCAAGAGTAAAGTAATAGGACAGAGGAGCTCAAATGACTCATTTCCTCATTTTCATCCATACCCCAAAAGCTGGTATTTGGGAATCTTCTGATGTAATATGAACAAGGTATACCTCCACTGTTCAACTAATCTATACAACATTCAATCTGAACTACAAAAAAGTCAATATTTCTTGTTTTCAAAAGCAATAAATTTAGAAAATCTTCATTTTAACTTTTTATTTAAAAACACATATAAATCCCAGCTGCGTAAACATCTGATAAGATCTTTAATAAAAGTTCCTGAAGAAATCACTGAGAGAAAATCTTGGCTTATGCTTGTGCTCCCAAACCACTGGAATGTGAAAGTCACATAGGAGTCTGCAACTATCATGAAAAATGATGCAGGAGGGAATAGAAGACATCAGAAAAAATTTAAATGAAACAACTGAAGAGAAAAAGTCAAATGTATTGCTTTTATTGAGCTCTGGTGGCATAGTGGCAAGGAGCTGCAACTACAATCCCAGAGGCGAATGGTTCGAATCCACCAGATGCTCTGCTAGGGAAGGAGGGACAATCTCCTCCTGTACCAGTCAGATCTGATTTGACGGTACAGGCACACAAAAATAATAAAATTTAAAAAAGTGTATTGCTTTTATTAAAGTGAGTATTTGCATGGTGCCACTGTTGTAAAATGGGATTGATATCAGGGTGGGGGTAAGACTGAGAAAAACTGGATATATTGTGTATACTGCACTGAAACAGATGAGGGAGTGAATAATTTAAAAGCGATGTATGATAGGGTATTATGGTTATCACAAGAGTCTACAATTAAGGTTGCATAGTGGAATGTACTTGGGGCGGTGGGAGGGATGCGGGGGGATTGTGTACCAGGGAAGGAGTGTTTCTTTTACTTTTTTTTTAAATTTAGGTTGTTTATTTTCATTTCAATGAACATCTACAGAGATTTTGGGATTCCATTCATTCATTGTTGCACCCTTCTC